TCCATGAACAAAAATCTTACCAAGTTCATCTCCATTGTTTCTTCCTGAAACTCTGCTCAAGTAATGTATTCCCCTGAACACACAGTTTTCACGTCTTTGTTTTCTCATACCCTGTTCTTTTTGCCAAGATCCTCTCTCTCTTCGTGAGAGATTCCTGTGTATGTTTTAAAAGTCAGCTTTAGATACCACTTTTTCCAGGGACTTTCATTGATAGCTCCCACCCAAAGAGGAGTTTTTTCTTACCTTGTGAAGTTACTGTTGTATTTGTTATGCTGATTTGTCATTTGCAATTTTTTTGTTTACGTGGCTAACATTTCTACTAAACTTTATGAATGTACTTTTGAAGGCAAGGTGTATATTTTTAGTCTTTGAATCCCTGATAACTGGGACAATGCCATGCTCTTAATTAGTATTTAATGTATATTTAAATTACATACTGAACTTAAAATGACATTTCATAGTTTGAAGTATGTTTGGTAGTTTTTAATGGAAAATAGACTTCAAGTAATCATTTAAAAACTCTAATCTGTTTTAAATTCTGTTTCATTCCATTCCTCATCTAAAATTTGGGCATCTTTTGAGTTTTTCATTTGGTTTCAGGTTTTCATAATTTATAACCTTGGTTCTTAAGGAAAAGTAATGATGTCGAGGCCTGGAATTCTACAGTAGGCTGCAAATAGGACAGCCCAGGGATATTTATTCAGATTTTACAAGGAAACTAAAATTTGGTTAGAACATCTCCTATCCAGATATATATTTAATATCATGTTACCGGTATTGGGGTTCTTGGGTTCTCTAAGATAGAAATCAAGAGAAAACCCAAGAGAAATTTCCAGGCAGATTTTTTTCCCAATCCACTCAAGGACATTTGTTTTCATTTCTCTTCAAATAGAGTGAGAGGAAAGGAGGGAGAGAGAGAAACATTGATGTGAGAGGGACACATCTACTGGTTGCCTCCTATAGGACCCTGACCAGGGCCGAGGATGAACCGCAACCAAGGTAGGTGCCCTTGACTGGAATCGCACCTGCGACTCTTTGGTCCACAGGCCACTAACCGCTAAGCCAAACCGGCCAGGGCTCCAGACAGATTTTTTTAAATAATTTTTTTATTTTTAGGTTATAGTGGATGTACGCTATCATATTAGTTTAAGGTGTACAGCCCCAGGATTAGACATTTATATAACTTATGAAATGATTACCCTGATAAATCTAGTACCCACCTGGCACCATGCATAGTTATTAGAATATTATTGACTATCTTCCCTATGCTGTACTTGACATACCCGTGACTGTTCTGTAACTACCAATGTGTACTTCTTAATTCCTTCACGTTTTCACCCAGTCCCCCAACCAGCATCAAACTGGCCAGGGCTCTTTTGCTGCTTTTAAGGTTCTTTCTTTGTATTTAACCTTTGGCATTTTAATTATGATGTGTCTTGGTGTGGGCCTCTTTGGGTTCATCTTGTTTGAGAGACATTCGGAAAGTCTGAAGCATGAGCCAAGATAGGATGTCTTTATGAAAAAGCCACTGGAAATGGCTTGGGTGGGCCCACAATTTAGGTTGGGCAGAGCCTCAGGGAATCAGCAGGGAGGGGCCAACACTGTCAGCCAGGTTGATGGAGACTAAGGTATGGTACCCACCTGCTGGCTCTGTTGGGGAGGGCTCAGCAAAGGAAGGGATGGCCTCTGCTGGCACTGCTGCCTGGGAAAAAGCTGCTCCTCCAGTCCTCACCCTGAAGCCACACTACTTAGTCCCTCCCTGTATGTTCCCATATGGCTCCTTTCAAGCTGCTGCCCCAGCTTTGGAGCCCAAAAAGAGTGAGTTTTTCAGCATGTTGTGCACGGATCCTCTAAGAAGAGCACTGGCTGGGACACCAGGAGCCCTCTGTCTCAGCCACAATCCCCACTGGTTTTCACAGCCCAAAGTTATGAGGACTGCTCTTCTTGGCACTGGAACCCTGTTTTAGGGGGCATAGTGTGGGGCTGGAACCCCTTACTCCTCAGGAGGGATCTCCACAGCCCAGATATCCTTTCCGATTTTTCTTATTTTAAATGGTTTTTTTTAGAGAGAAAACATTGATTGGCTGCCTCCTGCACCCCCCATCCCCATTCCGGGATCGAGCCCACAACCCAGACATGTGCCCTGACTGAGAACCACACCAGGACCGCTCAGTCCATGGACCGATGCTCAATCCATTGAGCCACACTGGCCAGGCTCCTTTCCGATTTTTAACAAACTGGGACCATTCTGTTCCTATCTTCACCTTTTTTATCAGTCTTGTAGTGGCTTCTTCATCATATTCTTAGTTGTAAGACTCTGGCAGTTCTGAATGATAGTTCTATATTTTAGTTTAGTTGTAACTTTGATGTGGTTGTGGGAGGAGGCAAGTACAGCATTTACCTACTCTGCCATCTTGACCAGAAGCCCTTCAGACAGATTTTGTTAAGCGTATGCTTGAGCACAAGGGAGGCAATACAGGAAAGGAAGGTCCTTCGAACTGGCTCTGCTTCGCTGTTTTTATGAGCTGGGGACAGAGTGTGGGCTGGTGTAAAAAGACAGCCTTTTTGAAAAAGGTGGGCTTGCAAAACTCCATTTCAGGGTCTGTCTACTTCCTCCTGTCAGGTTGCTTGACAACTGTCTTCACCCCTGGGCTATGACGGCCAAGATGTCGGACTGTTCGTTTCTGCCTCCCTAGGAAGGTCACATGGCAGTCAAACCTTATCAACTGTGTATGTGGGTCAGTAGTTTAAGCATGTGCAGTTAGAAGGGATATAAAATCAGCTAGCTCTGCATTTTGGAGTAGGGAGTAGAGGGGTGGTGACATGTCTGCTGTCTGGATTTTCTCTGGCCACCTAATGTCTTTGGGGCCCAGGCCCAGGTCTCTCTACTGTCTCAGTCATACGATAAGATTTTGATTCTCTACTTATGAATGTTTCAGAGACATGGCCTTTCAGGGAAGAACTTCCTAACACGTTAGAATTCTTTTTTTTTAAAAAAGAACGGACCGTCTTGCAAAGTAGGTAAATATTTCTGTACATGAAGGTTTCAGGAGGTGGGTGGATCTTGGAAATGTGGCCTGAAGATCCCTCCCTGCCTGAGATCAGTGACCTGAGTCTCACTGTAAGATCACAGGAATCTTTCCTACTTCTTTCTGTCCTGTTTGTTTGTCTGTGTTACTTCTTGTTTTTTATAAGTAATTTGGGATTTCTTGTACCATCAAGATTGGATTGTGGGAGCCAAGCCAAGTCATCTAAATAGACTCTTCCTCTTTCTACACTGTAGGGTTTTGGTCAGGTTATAGTAACAGTCTATTAAAAAAAAAAAAACTAAAAAAAAAAACAAGATGTATTTTATATCAGCAGTACCAAGGGAAACATGCTAGAATACAACTCAAAAGACTTGTATTTAGTATCAGCTCTGCCAATAATTATATAGTCTAAGACAGTTCCCTGAGCTGCTTGGGCTCAGCTTCCTCAGCCACAGCTCCCTCTTCTAGGCCAGAGTATAACTTCATGTGTAACAGAGGACGTTCCACTGGCAGGCTGCACTGTCACTCACAGTGAAGCCTCCGGAGTATGGGGAGTTTTGGTATTTGAGTTAATAGGCAGACCAAACTATGTAAATATGAAAGGATAAAATTCCAGTCATGATTCCTTAGGCCTTTATGAGCAAAACTGTGTAAGTAAATAAAAATTGAGGAACAGTATTTTTTTGTTGTTGTTGTTGTTATTAATTTTAGAGAGAGGAAATGAGAGGGAGAGATAGAAACATCGATGAGAGAGAACATGGATTGGCCGCCTCCTGCACGCCCCCCACTGGGGATGGGGCCCACAACCTGGGCATGTGCCCGGACTGGGAATCGAACTGGCAACCTCTTGGTCCATGGGTCGATGCTCCCTCCACCACTGGGCCACACCAGCCAGGCAGGAACAGTACTAAAATATAAAACGTGATTTAGAGCAAGTTTCAAGCCATTTTGAATTTTAAAAACCTGTGAAATAAAGACTGATAGATACATAAAGCTCCTGGTTATATGGAATAGAAGCATAAATGGGCCCATTGAGATGCTGGATGGCATCAAAAGAAGAGCAGCAAGGTCTTTTGTAGGGAAAATACTCTTTAAGAGATGAGCTAGTGGCAGATTACAACATGGGAATAAAAATTTAGGAAATGAATACTAGAAACATCTCCATAAAGGAGTCTGCTTGAGAAAAGGAGACTGTGGTTGGCTTGACCGTCCTTAATAATTCTGGAGAAAATACTCCTATTGGTTAGCCTTCTAAACACTAAAACAAAGTAGTAAAAGAATGACTTTTTGCCCTGGCCAGTTTGGCTCAGCATGGACCAAAGAGTCACAGATTTGATTCCGGTCAAGGGCATGTACTTCAGTCGTGGTTCTGTTCCTGGCCCTGGTTGGGGTCATGCGGGAGGCAACCAGTCGATGTGTCTCTCTCACATCAATGTTTCTCTCTTTCTATGTCTCTCTCCCTCCTACTCTATCTGAAGATAAATAGAAAAATATCCTCAGGTGAGGATTTAAAAAAAAAAAAAGAATGAATTGTTAACCTCATTGAGATATTTGGCCAGAAAATAGTAGGACCCCAAGGTTTGTGATTTAGCCTTTTACGCAAAGCAAATGAATCTTGGACATTTTTCTAAAAATGAAAAATCTCAATTTTCAAACACCAGAATTTTTACTAGTAACTACCTTTATTTATTTATTTATTTTTAATCCTCACCTGAGGATATTTTTCCATTTATCTTCAGAAAGAGTGTGGGGGGGCAGAGAGAGAGAGAGAAACAAACATCGACGTGAGAGGGACACATCGACTAGTTGCCTTCTGCACGAGCCCAACCAGGGCCGGGGACAAACCGCAACCAAGGTACGTGCCCTTGGCTGGAATGGAACCCACGACTCAATGGTCTGCAGGCCATCGCTCTAACTGCTGAGTCAAACTGACCAGGGCAGCACCTGCCTTTTTTAAAAAAAATTTTTTTCAGAAAGGGCTTCTGTCATGAGTGTCACACGTAGAGCAGCCTTATTGCTCTACATGTGGAATCGACATCAAGAGATTCCAGAAGCATAATTTTCTGGTACTTGGGCAGCTGCTGATCATAGGTCCTGGCGCCCACACACACAAAAAAATTTTTTTTCTTCATTGATTTTAGAGAGAGGAAGGGAGAGGGAGAGAGAGATAGAAACATCAATGAGTGAGAACATCTATTAGCCGCCTCCTGCATGTCCCCCACTGGGGATCGGGCTCACAACCTGGGCATGTGCTCTGACCAGGAATCGAACAGGTGACCTTCTGGTGCATGGGTTAGTGCTCAACCACTGAGGCACACTGACCGGGCAGTACCTTTCTTTTTGATGGAGAATTTAATTTTCTCTCTAAAAAACAAAGACGTAAAAATATTCAGTTCAGCCCTGGCTGGTTTGGCTCAGCGGTTAGAGCATTGGCCTGCAGTCCAGAGAGACCCAGGTTCAGTTCCTGCTAAGGGTGCGTGCCTCGGTTGCAGTTTGTCCCCAGCCCTGGTTGGGCATGTGGGTGGCAGCCACTCAATGTGTCCCTTTCACGTTAATGTTTCTTTCTCTCTCTCTCTCTCTCTCTCTCTCTCTATCTATCTATCTATCTCTCTCTCCCACTCTAAACAAAATATCAAAAAATGTCCTTGTGTGAGGATTAAAAAAAAAAAAGAAATTTGAAGACAAATTTTGTCTTCATAGAAGAACATTTTATGGTATTTTTTTTCTGTTCTGGGTAAAACTTTGTTTTTCTGTGCATGACAGTTAATAATCATGGGATTAAAAAGATTTAATAGTTATTTCTACTTTTATAGTTCTACTTGTCCAGTTCTGAAAGGGAACGTTATGAAAAAGAATTCAGCCAAGAACGACAACAAGAAATTTTGAGAAGAACAGCAAGGGACTTACCGATCTACACCACATCAGGCTCAAGAAGTAAGAAAACAAGTCTTAAGCTTTTCTATTCAAATAATTTTTTTTTGGTAGGGGCCCTAATGGGAACTGAACCCCGGACTCTCTGGTCCGCAGGCCGATGCTCCAACTGCTGAGCCAAACCGGCCAGGGCTACTCAAAGAATTTTTAAAATATGGTCATTCCTGCCAAGATATATTTGCATGATTTGACTGTTAAATGAATATTGTGATTGCACAAATAACATGGGCAAGAACAAGAAAGTATCTTATGTGGTATTTCAGATAAGATATGTACATATATTGATACAGATTTTTTTTTTAATGTTTTTAATTGATTTTTTTTTTTACAGAGAGAGGAGAGGGGACAGAGAGAGAGAGGAACATCTATGTGAGAGAGAGACATTGATCGGCTGCCTCCTGTACACCCTGCACAGGGGATCGAGCCCACAACCGTGGCATATGCCCTGACTGGAAATTGATCTGGGACCTCTCAATCTATGGGGCAACACTCAATCCACTGAGCCACACTGGCTAGGCTGATAGAGACTTTTTTTTTATTGTTGAAAGTATTACAGATGTCCCCATTTTCCCCCATTAACCCCCTCCTCCTCCCTGCTCCTGCCCCCTCCTGCTTCCTCCAACCTAATTTCTGTGTCCATTGGTTGTATTTTTGTTTTAATGTTTCTATTTGTTTTTTTTTGATCCTCATTCGAGGATGTTTTCTCATTGTTTTCCAGAAAGAATGGGAGGTAGGGGGAGAGAGGGGGGGGGACATCAATACACAAGAGACACATTGACTGGTTGCCTCCTGCACAACCCTGACCAGGGCCGGGGACCGAATCGCAACCCAGGTACATGCCCCAGACCGGAATGAAACCCGTGACACTTTGGTCCACGGGCCAATGTTCTAACTGCTGAGCCAAACCATTCAGGGCTGATACTAATTTTTGTAATAGGCTCACTTTAATATGAGTCTCTTCTCTGTATATTCTTTTTTTTTCCAACTTCACCTTTACGGCTAAAAGTTTCAGTTATTATTATTATTAGTAAACTATCATTTAGAAATTCTGGTTTAAATTAAAATATTATGTATCATTACTGAATAATTTTTTTTTAAATTAAGAATGTGCTAAATTAGAAGGGAGAGAAGTAAAAGACACAGGGGAAAACGTGTTCAGGGTTATAAAACATATGTAGAGAGCCAGAGTTTGGACTCGGCTTGTGTGGTTCCCGAGCTGCTGGTGGCCCACTGCCCACTGCCTCCACTGAGAGATGCGGCTGCAGCAGCCTCCTGTTCTCCAGGACAAAGACTTGCGCCGGTGAAGCCAGGAGTGGCCGAACTGTACATTTAAATACAGGAAATTGTTTTAAATTATGTATTATGTAACTCATTGATTCATTTAAATACCAGATCATAGTAATAGCTAGCAATTATTCTAAGTGTGTTGCACCTATGAACTCATTTAAACTTCATAACAATCCTGTGAGGGTGATACTATCGTCTCCACTTTACAGATTAGGACATTGAGACACAGAGGGCTTGAATATCTTTTTCAAGGTCAGACAGATATATGTGAAAAAACGGGTTTAAATCTGAGTACTCTGGCTTCAGAACCCACGATTCTTCTCAACTCCAAGGGGAAATAACAGGACTTTCCCTTTGTATAGTTACGTAGAGATTGTGAGTTAAGAACGTATAAAGTTTGCACAGATTTTTAAAGGGGATATTTGACCAAGTATTTATGCATTTAATGCTTTCCTTCTTATATAACTTAGTATATTACTGTATGGAATGAAAATACGGATTTCAGATCAAACCCTAGCTTTTCTATTATTAGTACAATGAGAGTCACTTATACTTTCTGGGCCCTTATTACCTTATTTTAAAATGAGGATAATATCTACATCTCTTTGTTAGTGGAAATATTAAATGAGATATATAAATGAGATAGACACTTAGTATAGATCTTTGTACATAGTAAATTTTCAGTATATGATGGCTAATTTAAAATAATAAAAAATTTTGCCCTGGCCGGTTTGGCTCAGCGGTTAGAGTGTTGGCCTGCGGTCCGGAGAGACCCGGGTTCGGTTCCCGCTAAGGGCGCGTACCTCAGTTGCAGTTTGTCCTCGGCCCTGGTTGGTCGTGCGGGTGGCAGCCACTCGATGTGTCCCTTTCACATCGATGTTTCTCTCTCTCTCTCTCTTCCTCTCTCTCCCTCCCACTCTATCTGTACAAAAAATGGAAAAATGTCCTCGGGTGAGGATAAAAAATAAAATAAAATAAAATAATAAAAATTTTTATTGCTTTTTAGAGAGAGGAAGTGAGAGGGAGAGAGAAACAGCAATGTGAGAACAAAGCATAGACCAGCTGCCTCCTGCAGGTACCTACCGGGGATCGAGCCCACAGCCTGGGCACGTGCCCTGACCAGAGGTCAAACCAGCGCCCTTTCAGTGCTCGGACACGGCCCAGCCAGCTGAGCCACACTGCCAAGGCAGTCTCTTCTTATATTTAAGTATGAAAGGTCTGCTTAACAATCATTGTTAGTAGATTTAGTTCTGCAGATTAGGTGTTTTTAACCCAAAGTCCAAGATTTCAGAGAATTTATGAAGTCTTGAGATTATACACACAATTTCAAGTAGCTTATTCATAGCAAGATTATCTGATTTTCAGAGCAGTACATGTGCCCCAGAGAGTTGAGAGCCACAGTGTAAAATCTGTACTCCTTTTTTTAAAAAAAAAATTTTGATTTTCCACAGTGTAAAATCTGTACTCCTTTTTTAAAAAAAAAATTTTGATTTTTAGAGAGAGAGGAAGGGAGAAGGAGAGAGAGAAACATCTATGAGAGAGAAAAGCATGCCTCCTTGTGTGCCCCTACAAGGGGTCGAGCCCCAATCCAGGCATGAGCTCTGACTGGGAATCCAACCCACGACCTTTTGGTGCATGGGATGACACCCAGCCAACTGAGCCACACCTGCCAGGGCTAAAATCTTTACTCTTTTTTTTGAAATATGTTTTTGATATTTTAGAGAGGGAGGGAGAGAGAGAAAGAGAGAGAGAGAGAGAGAGAAACATCGATATGAGACAGAAATATCAATGGGCTGTGTCCTGCCCTCCCCACACTAGGGATAGAGCTCACACCTGGGCATGTGCCCTGACTGGGAATCGAACCCGGACCTTTCAGTCCATGGGACGATGCTCAATCCACTGAGCCACACCAGCTAGGCTAAAATCTTTACTCTTAAAGAAGCTTTACTAATTTCCATTATTTATAATGGCTATTCTCTAATCTGAACAGTACCCTTTATTTATTGACTACTACACCAGGATCAGGCCAAGTACTTTATTGGTGATTGTTTAATCCTCAGAACAACTCTGAGATGGGTTCTGCACTTGTCCCCATTTTAAATATGTTTTTATTGATTTTAGAGAGAAAAGAAGGGAGAGGGAGAGAGAAAAACATCATTCAGCTGCCTCCTGCATGCTCCCCCACTGGGGATCGAGCCCGAAACCTGGGCATGTGCCCTGACTGGGAATCGAACATGTGACCTTTTAGTGCTTGAGTCAGTGGCCAGGTCTGGGACTTGTTGTGCCTTATCTTTTGGCTGCTCTGGGGAACCATTTTATACTGCATTTCTACTGCTTAGAATCCCAAATGCTGGGGCTTTTTCTTTTCTTACTAAAGAAGCAATACCCATTTATCTTGAAGGAACAGAGTTACAGAATAGGTGTTACAGAAAGCCGACCTTCCTTAGACCAGAGATCATTGAAAGTAGTGGAGCTGCCCTGGCCAGTTTGGCTCAGCGGTTAGAGCGTCAGCCCGCAGACCGGAGAGTCCCGGGTTTGGTATCCACTAAGGGCACGTACCTCGGTTGCAGTTTGTCCCCGGCCCTGGTTGGGGTCATGTGGGTGGCAGCCAGTCGATGTGTCTCTCACATTGATGTTTCTCTCTCTCTCTCTTCCCCCCTCTCTCTCTTCTGCTCTATCTGAAGATAAAAGCAAAGATGTCCTCGGGTGAGGATAAAAAACAAAAAAAAATAAAGTAGTGGAGCTGCCTTTACAGAGGGGAGTTAGGGGGTTGGGCACCAGAGTGGGGACTTCTCACTGAATTCCTCTTTGTGCTCTTTCCAGCCATGTGGACATACTATTATCTATTTGGGAAACAAACGAGTCTTTCTAACCCTTCTTCCCTCCAGTCTCAATCCAGCCAGCAGTTATCTCTAGCTTTGTCCCACACGGTTCCTTGTGCTGGCTCTGCTAACACATTGTGCCCTTCCCCACCATTTTTTTTCTTTCTCTCTGCCTGGAATGATTATTTTCTCCTCTCTAAATTCAGTTTAAAGTTTTAATTCACTGTCCACCTCTTTTCAGCTTCTATTCACTTTAACAAGGAGTGATTTAGAGTCTTCTTAGAACATCTCAATTTTTTACACGTAGACTATAAGTCCTGTTTTATTTATTAATGTCCCTCCCACCTTACTGACTTGATCTGAGCCTCTGGCAGCCAAGGGTCTACCACACTGTCTCATGCAGTGTTTCGGGAAATGTCTGTGTGGTGAATCTGGTCCTGGCTATTCTCCCCATGGCTGTTTGTACACTTTTTATTTTACTTATTTTGTTTGTTTGTTTGCATACCATTTATTTCCCTGGTTTTCTTTCCCTAATTTTTCTCATCATAGAGTCTGATTTTATCTTTTATTAGAAATAATAATTTTATTATAACTGCTTTATTGAGAATCTGATATGTTCTAGAAGGTTTTATTTTAATCTGCAAAATAGTTCATTACACTTGGTATTATTTACATTTTCAGAAGAGGAAACTGAAGCTCTTAGAATGTGAGTTACTGGCCCAAGGTCACCAGCTAGTCAGTGGGAGAACTAGTATCAAACCTGATGACAGAGTTATTACTTGTCAATTTCCCCAAAGTTATTTATACAAGAAATGAAAGTAAATTTTATAGTAAAATTAACTAAACTTGTACATCCTTCAACACCTTTTAATTCTTAAATATAGCCATCAGATATTGTGAAAGATGTCAGTTGATTAAACCTGACCGTGCGCACCACTGCTCAGCATGTGACATGTAAGTGTTACCCACATTTGCTTTTCTTTAACCCCAGTATTGGAGATTGGTGACAGGAGAACAGAAGGGGAAGGAGCATTTTATAAAATGCTTTATACTTTAGCAAAAACATTGCCTCCTTTCCCATTATTTGCTACAAATGTGGGTTAGCATAAATATTTCCATAAGCTAGAATATACTTTGGAGTAATTTTTAATAACAGTTCCTGTACTGGTTGATAAAATTTTCTTTCTTTTTAATCCTCACCTGAGGCTATATGTTTTTAGAGAGAGGAAGGAGAGAAATATCTATCAGTTGCCTCCCATATGTACCTCAACTGGGGATTGAACCCACAACCTAAGTATGTGCCCTGACCAGGAATCGAACCCACAACTTTTTGGTGTATGGGATGATATTTCAACCAACTGAGCCACCGAACCAGGGCTAATGGAGTTTTATTTAAATATATTTTCTATGTTTATGCTTAATATAATATTGATGAGCAAGTAAGTAATAACTTCCTTAAGAATAACTTTATTTCCTGGATTAAAATGGTAATTTTCTTGTTTCTTACTATAAATGTTGATATTAAAACCTAACAAACCACACACAAAAATATTTTTTCAATTTTCATCTGTAACATTATTCCCAGAAAAACTTGAAAGATTTAATTCCTTGTGTACTCAGGAAGAGGTGATGTGTGGAAGGGAAGATCCCCAGTTTGGGAATCCCAGTTAACTCTTGAGCTTGATTAGACAAGCGGTTTAACCTTCCGGGTTTTACTTTACTCGTGTATTATGCTATTTGAGATTATCTGTGGTCTGACTCTACAAATATATACATTCCATATACTGGCAGGGAGGCAAATTTGGTTTTTTTCCCCTGATTATAAAAGTATAGTAGTGCTTATTCATGGTATAGAATTTTATAAAATGTGTGGAAAAATAACCATGTTTAAGTCCATCAGTGTTAATATTTTAACATAGTTGCTTCTAAGGTTTTATTTTTATGACTTGCACAGATTTAAAAGAGGGGTTGTCTGTCTTTCACTCCGTTCCCCGTAGCTGATGGTTGCTGGACTGCCAGCGGGCCAAGTGCCCTTGCCCCGCGGCTGCGTGTGAGCACGTCTCCGTGTGGGCCAAGGCGGAATACCCTTGCCTCGCCTACAGACGTGTGGTGCGAGTACGGAGTTTCTCTAAAGTTTGCTGGGTTGGTTTTTCTCTAAGATGTATTTGTAAAGGGAAAATTTTAAGGAAAAAAATTATCAGCAATTAGAATTATGCTTATTTGTTTTTTAGGTGTATTCTTAAGATGGATCATCACTGTCCTTGGTATGTATAAAAATATAAGAAGTCACATATAGGGGTGGAGAGGTGGGAAGGAGAGAAAATTTTTAAGGTCAGTTTAATTATACACAGCAAGATTGATCTTATTAGATACAGATGTCGATATGTATGTATATATGTACATGTTTATGTTAAATGTTTTTCTTTAAAAATATATTTTGATATTATTAATCTAAATAATTATATATTAAGAATTAACATTAAAATTCCAAATTTCTTGCAGAATTTTTTAAAACTACATATTAACAATTCAGATATTGCTCCCTACTTCCCAAATGACCCATTTCCAAGTAATAAGTTTTTCGAAATGTTTTATTTATTATTATTGTTATTATGTTAAAAAGAACATACAGTTTACCATCTTAACTATTTCTGAGTTCAGTTTAGTAGTGTTAAGGATGTTCACATTGTGCAACCAGTCTTCAGAACTTTTTCATCTTGCAAAACTGAAACTCTATACCCATTAAACAACTTCTCATTTCCCTTCCCCAAGCCCTTGGCAAACATTCTAGCTTTTGTTTCTCTGAGTTTGATTTGTCTTATTTTTACAGTGTGACTTTCTTTGTTCTTCTAGGGTGAATAACTGTGTGGGATTTTCTAATTACAAATTCTTCCTGCTGTTTTTATTGTATTCCCTGTTATATTGCCTTTTTGTGTCTACAACAGTTTTACAGTACTTTATAAAATTTTGGACGGTAAGTCTTTTTTTATCTTAAAACACATATTTAAGACTTTTTAAGATGCTCTCTTCATAAAGAATTTATTCTTTATTACAAGTAGAGATGCTTTGTTTTAATTTTACTGGTTAGATTTTACAAAGGATCAGAGAGCAAACAAGGATAATGTTTACCCTTATTTACATGTTTATTTGTAAGTAAATGAATATTAAACAGGATATAACGAGCTTGTTTTTTTAAATATGTTTTTATTGAAACTTTAGAGAGAGGTAGAAACATCAATGAGAGAGAACATCGATTGGCTGCCTCCTGCATGCCCCCTACTGGGGATTGAACCCGCAACCTGGACATATGCCCTGATCAAGAATTGAACGGGGACCTCTCAGTCCACTGAGCCACACCGATCGGGCAGTATAATGAGTTTCTTTTTAGTGATCCAAACTGTTTTCAGCCACACTCTAATAATAGACATACCAATTTTAGGGAAGTAATTGCTTTTATTTGAGTTAATGAAACTTATTGCAGTTTCACAGTAATGAAAGTGATATTTCTAGGCCTAGGTAATCACTAATGTCTTTCCTGTCTCTATAGACATTAATCCTGTTTCTGTATGAGTTGCAAATGTTTTTTTCATATTTTCATTTTATATCTTATAACCCTGTTTATCAAATCAAAGTTTTATACTTTAAAGCAATACTTTTTCTACTTCTGATTGTATGGTTTTTTGAAATGTATTGATTTTTTTTTCTTTTTTCTTTTTTTTAGAAGAAGGGAGAGGGAGAGAAAGAGAAACATTTATGAAAGAACATTGATTGGCTGCCTTCTGCTGCCCTCTACTGGGGGTCAAGCCCACAACCCAGGCATATGCCCTAACTGGGAATTGAACAGGTGACCTCTTGGTGCATGGGAAGATGTTCAATCCACTGAGCCACACTAGCTGGGCTGGTATTTTAAATTTAAAAGCAATACTTTTTATGTTTGATTTCTGGCTTTAGTTTGTTTGCTATAAATTTATGCAAATATTTACCTATGTTTTCTATTGGAATTTCTGTTGTTTCTGTTTTCACATTTAAACCTTTGATTTCGAAGGGGGGATTATTGTGGTTAAAAAGTACTTTTCTGTTTACTCTTCCTAAAAACCCTATGAAGGTGTTTTATTTTTATTTATTTATTTTTTTATCCTCACCTGAGGACATTTTTCCATTTTTTTGTTCAGATAGAGTGGGAGGGAGAGAGCGAGAGAGAGAAACATCGATGTGAAAGGGACACATCGAGTGGCTGCCACCTGCACAAACCAACCAGGGCCGAGGACAAACTGCAACTGAGGTACATGCCCTTAGCGGGAACCGAACCCGGGTCTCTCCAGACCGCAGGCCGATGCTCTAACCGCTGAGCCAAACCAACCAGGGCAAAACCCAATGAAGGTGTTTTAAAGTGTAGGTTTTATTGTTATTCAGGTAATAGTGAAGCCAACAGATGAGGAAATAATTACCATTGAAGAGATATTTGTCACTCACAGTTCCCAACTGAGGAGACATGCCTTACCATGCTTTGCCACATGGAGGAGCACTGGGGTCATCCAGAAAGCAGAAGGGGCAAGCCCAGAGCCTTTAATGTGGTTTCTGTATGAAAGGCAAGGCCAGGCAGCGTAAGCAGATTTAGGATTAGCTAGTTTGAATAATTCGGTAGTCTCTGGGCATACAGGCTGTTCCTGGTTGTCTGGTACTTAACTCTGGAATGATTAGGGCAGTGGAATATTGCCTCCTGGAGTGTAAGAATCAGGCAGAGGGTTTGGTTTGGAATTTGGGCTCTGAATTGGTAATAGTTTGTATATGAGAAATATACATTCCTTGCTGTCTCTTAAGAATTGGGTAGCCCTGGAAGGGGCAGTCTCTTCCGAGTCATCAAGGCCCCAGAACACATCAAGAACACAGAAAATAAGAAAGTATAGTTATTCCAATTTTTAGAGTTGGAAAATGAGGATGGAGAAGTTGAGTAACTATCTAAGGTCACATATTAAATAGTGTCAGAAGCCAGAATTTTAACTGAGATCTGTCTATTCCAACATTCAGATACTCACCACTATGATTTGCTTAGTTATAGTTGGGAAGAACATAATTAAAGCCTCAAGCCATAAAACACAATTATGTTTTCAGGAAATATCTAATCCATTTTGGAAGGAGTTTATTTAAAACATCATTAGTTCCTGGCTGGTGTGGCTCAGTGGATTGACAGTCATCTCTTGGACTGGGAGGTCCTGGGTTGGGGCGTATGCCCAGGTTTCAGGATCAATCCCAGTGGGGGGGGTACAGGAGGCAGCCAGTAGATGTTTGTCTCTCACATCAATGTTTCTATCTCATTCTTCCTTCTCTTCTCTCTAAAAAAATCAATAAAAACATATTTTTAAAAAAACATCATTATATCTATCTATATCTATATATATATACACACACACACACATATATACATATAAATTTTTTTTTTTTAATCCTCACCTGAGGATATTTTTACATTTATCTCCAGACAGAGTGAGAGGGGGAGAGAGAGAGAAACATCGATGTGAGAGAGACACATTGACTGGTTGCCACCTGCATAACCCCAACCTGGGCCAGGGACGAACCACAACTGAGGTACATGCCATTGGCCGGAATTGATCCTGGGACTCTCTGGTCCTCAGGCTGACACTCTAACTGCTGAGCCAAACCGGCCAAGGCAACATCATTAGATTTTTAAAGTTTGGGTATTTAAAACCAGGGGATGCTGGCATTGCCTTTGTGCATGTTAGAAAAGAGCACCCCATTTCTGTGTGGTCTTAGCCTAATGAATTTTGGCCTCTATTGTTGCCTGACCTTGGTATCTTTGTTCAGTTTACAACCTACTTAACCACACCCAGTGGCCCTATTTAAAGGAAGAGGATTCAGTGCCAGATGAATGAAATTCAAATGATAGAATTTCACATTTCTTTATTAGAAACTTCACTGTTTGCATGTAATGACTTATTAATTAAAGAATCACTATTTATTAACTTTTTTAGATTAATCATGGTAAGGAAAGATTAGTAAACTTCAATCTACCTTTTCCTTCACTTATTCAACAAATATTTATTCAGCATCTGTAGTGTGCCAGTCATTATTCTAGGTACTTGGGATATATCAGTGAACAAAACAAAGACTTGTGTTTTTGAAATTTACTTTCGAGAAGAGGGAGTCAAACAATAAGCATAATAAATAAATAAATTATGTTATATATTTGAAAGTAAATGCTGTGAAAGAAAACAAAGCTAGTGTAAGGGGTTTGGTAAGTGTGAGAGAGCAGATTAGGCGCAGCTGCAGCACTGAACAGTGGGCAGGTAGGCCTCACTAAGAAGCTGTGAGCAAAGACAGAAGTTAGTGGGTAGCTGAAAAAACATTTATGCACCTAGCACAGGAACACCTAAATAGATAAAGCAAATATTAACAGGCTTAAATGGAGAGATAGCCCTAGGTAGTGTGGCTTAGTTGGTTGGGCATCATCCCATGCACCAAAGGGTCACTGGTTCGATTCCTGGTTGGCATATACTCGGATTGCTGGCTCGATCCCCAGTAGGGGGGCATGCAGGATACAGCCAATCAATGTTTCTCTCACATTGATATTTCTCTCTCTCTTCTCCCTTCCTCTCTCTCTAAAAAATCAGTAAAAAACCACATTAAAAAGAATAAATAAATAAAAAGGAGTTATAGACAGCAATACAATAATAGTAGGGTACTTTAATACCCCATTTTCATCAGTGGATATAGGTCATCCAAACAAAAAAAATCAATAAAGAAACATCTGCCTCAAATGACACATTAGTCCAAATGTACTTAACAGACATGTACTGAACACCACATCAGAAAGCCACAAAATACACATTCTTCTTAAGCACACATGGAACATTCTTATTTCAGGATAGATATCTGGTTAGTCTACTAAATAAGTCTCAGTAAATTTAAGAAGACTTAAGTCTCAATAAATTTAATAAGATTTAAATCATGCAAAGCATTTTTTCCAACCACAGTGGTAAGAAACTAGAAGTCATTTACTAGAAAAAAAAAACAGAAAAATTCACAAATGTGGACATAACATGGTAGTAAACAACCAATGGCATTAAGAACATATCAAAAAATATCTTGGGACAAATGAAAATGGAAGTACAAACACCAAAACTTATGGAACTCAGCAAAAGCAGTTCATAGAGGGAAGTTCTTAGCAGTAAATGCCTATGTTAAGAAATAAGAAAGATCTCAAGCAACCCAACTTCATACCTCAAAGAACTAGAAAAAGAACATGAAGCCTAAAGTCAGCCGGAGGAAGGAAATAACAAAGATCAGAGCAGAAATAAAGGAAATAGGCTTAAAAAGACAACAGAAAAGCCCTGCGGTGTGGCTCAGTGGTTGAGCATCCACCCTTGCACTAAGAGGTTTGATTGCCAGTCAGGGCACATGCCCAGGTTTTGGGCCCGATCCCCAGTGGGGGGCATGCAAGAGGTGGCCAATCGATGTTCTCTCTTGTCGATGTTTATATCTCTCTCCCTTCCTCTCTCTCTAAAGTCAATAAAGAAAGGGGAAAAAAAGATAATAGAAAAGATAAGTGATCAAGAACTGTTTTTTTTGTAAAGAGAAACAAAATAGACAAACCTTTAGACTCACCAAGAATAAAAGGGAGGACTCAAATAAATAAAATAAAAAATGAAAGAGGAGCACTGGCTGATTTGGCTCAGCAGTTAGTGTCGGCCTGCATATCGAAGGGTCGTGGGTTTGATTCTGATCAAGAGCACATACCTGGGTTGCAGGTTCGATCCTCAGCAGGAATCAACCAGTGGATGTGTCTCACATCAGTCTCTCTCTCCACCCCCTCCCCCTCTCCCCTCTCTCTCTCCCTTAATGAAAAAATATCCTCAGGTGAGGATTAACAAAAAAAGAAAGAAAGAAACTATTATGAACAATTATATGCCAAGAATTAGACAACCTAACCAAAAAAAAAATATATATATATATATATGTATATGTATATATATATAAAAGAAACTATTATGAAGAATTATATGCCAAGAATTAGACAGCCTAGAAAAATAGATAAATTCTTAGAAATGCACAGCCTTCCAACATTGAATCATGATGAAATAGAAAATCAGAACAGACTAGTTACTAGTAAGGTGATTAAAATGGTCACCAAAAACCTCCCAACACTAAAATCCAGGACTAGATGGCTTCAGCCAGTGGTCCTTCTCAAACTTTGCCAATAAATGAAATAAGAGGAAACAGTTCCAAACTCACTTTATGAGGCCAGCATTACCCTAACAGAAACCAGACAAGGTCATTACAAGAAAATAAGATTACATGCTAAAATCCTTGGTGAACATAGATACAAAAATCCTGAACAGAATAATTGCAAACTGAATAAAAGACTCATACACCATGATCAAGTGGGATTTATTCCAGGGATGCAAGGATGTTTCACCATCTACAAGTTGATCATTATGATACACAACATTAACAAAATGAAGGATAAAAATCATATGTTCATCTCAGTAGATTCAGAAAAAGCATTTGACAAAATTCAACATCTGTGTATAAAACTCTCAAAAAAGTGGGTATAGAGGGAACATATCACACCATAATAAAAGCCATATATGTCAAGTGCATGGCTAACATCCTCACCTGTTAAAAGCTGAGAGCTTTTTCTCTAAGAACAAGACAAGGATGCTCACTCTTTTATTCAACGTAATATTGGAAGTCCTAGCCAGATCTGTTAGGCAAGATAAAGAAATAAAGACATTGATATTAGAAAGGAAAAAGTAAAACTATCTATTTGCAGATGACATGGTATTATATATAGAAAGCACTAAAGACTCTACCAAAAAACTTAAAATTAACAAATTCAGTAAAGTTGTAGGATACAAAAATCAATACAGAAAAAGCAGTTGTTTTAAAAAAAATGTTGTTATGGATTTTTTAGAGAGGAAGGAAGGGAGAGAGAGAGAGAGAAACATCTATCGGCTGCCTCCTGCACACCCCCTACTGGGGATCAAGCCAGCAACCCAGATGTGTGCCCTGACCAGGAATGGAACCAGGACCTCTCAGTCCATGGGACGATGCTCAGTCCACTGAGCCACACCGACTGGGCTCAGTTGCATTTCTGTATATTAATAAATGATCAGAAAGAGAACTTAAGAAAACATTCCCATTTACAATTGTATCACAAAGAATAAAATACCTAGGAATAAATTTAACCAAGGAGGTAAAAGACCTGTTACTCTGAAAACTATGAAACATTGATGACAGCATTTGAAGAAGACACAAATAAATGGAAAGATAGTGAGTGCTCATGGATAGGAAGAATTAATATTGTTAATATGTTCATACTACCAAACATAATCTACAGATTCAGTCCCTCTCAGAGTGCCAATGGCATTTTCCACAGAAATAACCCCGAAATTTGTGTGGGGTGGGGGTTGGGGACAGTAGAAGGAGACTTGCCTTGGGGTGGTGAATACAATACAACATACAGTATTATAGGATTGTACACCTGAAATATATAATTTTATTAACCACTGTCACCCCCAATGAATTCAATAAAAAAGAAAACAAAATAGAGCTACCATACAGCCCAGCAATTCCACTTCTGGAAATATAGTCAAAGGAAACAAAATAGCATCTCAGAGAGGTATCTGTACCTCCACGTTCACAACAGCATTATTTACAACAGCCCAAACATGGAAACAACCCCAGTGTCTGTCAACAGATGAATGGATAAATAAGGTGTAGTATCTGTTTACAGTGGAATATTAATTCAGCCATAAAAAGGGCAATCCTGCCATTTGGGACAACATGGATGGACCTTGAAGTTATTTGTGTAAGTGAAATAAGTAAAGAAAAAGACAAATGCTGTATGATCTCACATGTAAATATTAAAACAGCTCATAGATTGGTGGCTGTCAGATGTAGGGGTTGGGGAATGGGTGAAATGGGTGAAGGTAGTAAAAGTAAAATCCTGGAGATAAAATGTACACCATTGTTACTACAGTTAATAAGGATGTTTGAAAGCTGCTAACATTAGATCTTAAAAGTGCTCATCACAAGAAAAATAATTGTGATCACGTGAGGTGACAGATGTTAACTATACTTTCTGTGGTGATCATTTCACAGTATATACAAAATCAAATCGTTATGTCGTGCATCTGACACCAATAAAATGTTATGTCAGTTATATCTCAACTAAGGAAAAGAAAAGTGATCAGACCTAAGTAAGAAGGTGATGTTTGAGCAAAGACTTGAAGGGAGTTTAGGGATATCTGAAAGAACATTTCAGATAGAGGAAAAGATCCAAAATTAGGAGTGTCCCTGCCAGGTTTGAGCAGCAGTAAGGAGGCTGGAGGGGATGAGCAAGAGTGAGACTAATGGGAAGTCCTGGATGGGCCCCCAAAATAAAGAGCCTTGGAAAGTGTTTTGAGAATTGTAGCTTCTACTCAGTGAAATGGGAACAGAGCAGTGAGGTGATCTGACTTGTAAAGGATCACTCTGCTATGCGGACACTAGACCAGATGAGCAAGTGACAGCCTCCTAAAAGGCTATTGGAGGTGATAAAAAATAGATCTGGATTTTATAAACTACTAATCAGAAGTTTCTTTAAAAGCTATTTGTTAAGTTTTTAAAATTTTATTCTACCCGAGATACAAATCTCTTTTAAAAACTGAGTGGAAAAGTGTGTAAAGTGTACCTGAAGTGTGATTGAAGAGATAAATGTTCTTGTGTGTTTTGTGGCTTTTGAGATGTTGATGACTTTAGAGAGCATCATCTTAGTGTTCCTCAAAACAAAAGATTTATAAAATTAATATTCAGGAAAATTTTATATAAAAATTGGTTTCTTAACATTGTCTCTATTTGTACAAGCTTTGCCACAGGAATTCTACAGAGAGTTGTCCAGAGGTAAAATACATTACTGCCATGACATTTTTGTCATCTCTTTTATGATGTCTATAGTGAATATATATAATATATGTATATTATATATATGTAACACTCATTTGCTTCACAAGATGGGGAGATAGGAGAATCACTTGATGTTTTTATTTTTGTAGCTAATTTGAGAGAGAGAGAGATAGACATCAATTTGTTTCACTTATTTATGCATTCATTGGTTCTTGTATGTGTTCTGACTGGGGATTGAATGCGTATCAGTACAATACTCTAACCAACTGAGCTACCTGGCCAGGGCCACTTGATGTATTTAAAAGGTATTGTGGCCCTGACTGGTTTGGCTCAGCAGTTAGAGCACCCATGGACCAAAGGGTCCCAGCTTCGATTCCAAGAGGTCAAAGGCACATACCTGGATTGCAGGTTCAATCCTGGGCCCCAGTCAGGGTTGTGCAGGGGCAGCCAATCGATGTGTCTCTCTCCCAAAGATGTTTCTCTCTCTCCCCCCATCACCCTCCCTCCCTTCCCCCTCTCTTCCTTCCACTCTATCTACATGTTAATGGGAAAATATCCTGGGGTGAGGATTAGCAAGAGAAAAGATTGTGGTTGCCCTGGTTTGTGTGACTTAGTTGGTTGGAGTGTTGTCCCCTACACCAAAAGGTGGGGAGTTCTGTTCCCAGTGGGGCACATTCGGGAGGCAACCTATTCATGTTTCTCTCTTCCCCCTCCCCCCTCCCTCTTTCTAAAATCAGTAAAAATAAAAGGATAAAAAGGTATTATTGTTACTCTAGGAGAGAAGAGAAAAAGATGAATAACAGAATTATATAGTGCTTAAAACCTTCCTTTTTTAGCCTGTAAGCTTTTTATCAAGCAGGACCACTTATGTTTTAGTAGCTTCCCTGATTTCCCTATATGGATTCATTTTAAGAGCTAACACTTTTAAAAGCTTTATTCTTTGCCCAGTCGGTGTGGCTCAGTGGATTGAGCGTGTCATCCCATGGACTGAGAGGTCCCAGTTTGATTCCTGATCAGGGCATGTGCCCCAGTTTTGGGCTCGATACCCTGTAGGGGGCGCGCAGGAGGCAGCTGATCAATGTTTCTCTCACACATCAATGTTTCTCTCCCTTACTCTGTCTCTAAAAAATCAATAAAAACATTTTTTTAAAAAGAACCTATTTTAAAAGCTTTCTTCTCCTACCAATAGATACTAATTTCTTCTAGGTTAAGACTTTGCATCTATTAAAATGAATATAGCCATAAGAATGGGTAATTGAGGTACATATATTCTTTCCGATTGGTGTTTCAGGCTTCTTAGAGTATATTCCTAGAAGTGGGATCACTGGGTCAAATGGCAGTTCGATTTTTAATTTTTTGAGGAAACACCATAGTGTTTTCCATAGTGGCTGTACCAGTCTGCATTCCCACCAGCAGTGTACTAGAGTCCCCTTTTCTCCACACCCTCGCCAACACTTGTTTGATGATTTGTTGATGGTGGCCATTCTGACAGGTGTGAGGTGATACCTCATTGTTGTTTTAATTTGCATCTCTCTGGTGATTAGTGACAGTGAACATTTTTTTCATATGTCTTTTGGCCATTTGTATGTCCTGTTTGGAGAGGTGTCTAGCTCCTCTGTCCATTTTTTAGTTGGATTCTTTGTCTTCCTTTTGTTAAGTTGTATGAGTACTCTATATATTTTGGAAATTAGCCGCTTATCTGATGTATCATTGGCAGTTATGCTCTCCTATAGTGTGGGTTGCCTTTCCATTTTGATGTTTGTATATTTTGCTGTGCAGAAGCTTTTTAATTTGATCCCTATGTACATAGCAGCACTATTTACAATTGCTAAGATCTGGAAACAGCCCAAGTGTCTATCAATAGATGAGTGGATAAAAAAACTGTGGTGCATGTACACAATGGAGTACTATGCAGCTGTAAGAAAGAAAGATCTTTTACCCTTTGAGAAAACGTAGAGGGACCTTAAGAGTATTATGCTTAGTGAAATAAGCTAGTCAGAGAAAGACAACTATCACATGATCTTATTTATTTGTGGAATATAAGAATAAGGTGGGCTGATGAATGAAATAGACCCAGAGACATGGAAGTGGGGTACAGACTGACAAACCTCAGAAGAGGTGGATATGGGGGAGGGAAGAGATAAACCACAGAACTTACACGCATGTATGTGTAAACAAGGACATAGACAATAATACTGGGGGGTGGTGTGGGTTTGGGAGGAGGATGTCAATGGGGAAAAAAAGGAGAAATGTCTGTAACAAAAATAAAAAAAGAAAAGAATGGGTAATTGAGAAACTGTATTTACTCATACCTTGTGTTAAATTCATTTAGCAAAATTGCTATTTACTCGAAAAGGTACTTTAGGAATTGAGCAAGGATTTAAAAGGTAGGAATGGAAGCAGCTGAGAGGATGGGCATATTTGTAGTGTTGTTCCAGGAATAGAAATTAGAGAAATACAAAATCTGTCAAAAATAATTTCTGGTAAGCAGCATGTGTAATTAAAACAAACATATACTGTAGCACTGATGGGGAAATGCTCCTATATCCTGGATGTTGAGGGTGAAAGTTTATACATAATGCTGAAAGTACAAAAGAAAAATGTTGGGTAAAGAGTCCATCTTTTGCCCGGCCAGTGTGGCTCTGTGGTTGAGTGTCGACCCACGCACCAAGAGGTCACAGGTTCAGTTCCCAGTCAGGGCACATGCCCAGGTTGTGGGCCCAATTCCCAGTAGGGGGCACGCAGGAGGCAGCCAATTGATGTTCTCTCTCATTGATGTTTCTGTCTCTTCCTCTCTCTCTAAAAAGCAATAAAGAAAAATTTTATTACTGAAAGTATTGCTAAAATTTGTAAATGTTTAATAGCTTTTTTTTTAAATATGTTTTTATTTATTTTTTTAGAGAGAGAAGAAAGAAAAGGAGAGTTAGAAACATTGATCAGCTGCCTCCTGCGCATCTCCTACTGGGGATCAAGCCTGCAACCCTAGCCTGTGTCCTAACCAGGAATTGAACCAGTGACCTCTTGGGGCATGGGTCAGTGCTCAATCCACTAATCTATACTGACTGGGCTAAGAGAAAATTTTTTTTTATCTTAGCCCAGCCAGTATAGATTAGTTTTTTGTTCAGGTACAGTGGGAGGGGGAGAGAGAGAGAGAGAGAGAGAGAGAGAGAGAGAGAGAGAGAGAGAGAGAGAGAGAGAAACATCGATGTGAAAGGGACACATCGAGTGGCTGCCACCCACACGACCAACCAGGGCTGGGGACAAAATGCAACCGAGGCACGCATCCTTAGCGGGAACCGAACCCGGGTCTCTCGGAACTGCAGGCCGATGCTCTAACCGCTGAGCCAAACTGGCCAGGGCTAAGAGCAATTTTTAAATTTGCTCTGATTATATGTAAGCATGCTCCTTTGATGATACCAATTTTCTGTTTCCAAAAATGTTTTTGGACACAATATCTAATTTATTTTATTACTCGTCATATCTGGCAAATTTTTGGTGGATTCAACAATCTTTAGGAAAACCAAATAATAAAGAGTACATTCTAGAGGCTGACTGTCTTCAAAATTAACACTTCTTTTTCTTTCCTCAGAACGAACTCACAGATACACGTGCCAAATTCCACGTGCTTTTTCTTTTTTTTGTATCTACAATGTTCTTCGTCAGCGTCCTGTCACTGTTTAGCTATCACTGCTGGCTAGTTGGGAAAAATAAAACAACAATAGGTAAGTAGATCAAAATAATTTATATTTGCACTGGCCAGTTTGGCTCAGTGGTTAGAGCGTCAATCGGCCACCAAAGAGTCTAGGACACATACCTGGGTTGCAGGTTTGATTCCTCGGCCCTGTTGGGGTTGTGCGGAAGGCAACTAGTCGATGTGTCTCTCACATAGGTGTTTCTCTCCCTCTCTCCTTCTCTCCCTCCCTTCCACTCTTATCTAAAAAAAGTCATACAGTGATACCTCGGTTCTCGAACATAATTCGTTCCAGGAGGACGGTCGAGAACCAAATTGTTCGAGAACCGAAGCAATGAAACCCAATAGGAAATAATGGAAACTGGATTAATTCGTTCCAAGCCCCAGAAAATGCCTATTTACTGGCCTAATTTGTATATAATATGTAGAAAAACATAAGTCTCAACAAGAAATAAAAGTGTACAGTATGTCTAAGGGTTAAATTCAGTGTAAAGCGTGACTCTCTCCACAAAGCGTGACTCTCTCTCTGCACTCACACTGATGACGCGAGCAAGGCGCGCTGGGCCGAATGAACGCCATTCGGCTCAACTCGGCTCATCTCGGAAGTTCGAGTTCCAAATATTTGTTCGGATTCCAAGACAAAAGTTTCTCGAATCTCCTGGTCGAATACCGATTTGGTCGAAAGTCAAGGCGTTCGAGAACTGTGGTATCACTGTATTTAGTTAGGAAAATGACTACAAATGAATATGAAATCTAGAGAATGACATTAGATGATTAAAAAAGATGTAAAATAATTGTATGTGAAAATTCACTGTGATTGGACAGGAACAATGGTATATGTACATGTGAAGGTTCATTATTTTAAAGGTTGAAGAGGTAAGATGGAGTTTTTTATGTTTTTTAGTTGTGTATTGTATATAAAAGTAGAAAACCATATTTTATAATTGTTAAAGCCGTTTCCTGCATTTACAGTGTCTTCAAAAATTTATGAATGATGAATAGTAGATTTTCATGTTAATAAGGCAGTTTATTCTCAGATTGCTACACAATTTTCAAAATCCTTAATCACTTATTGTTTAGCTAAAACATAAGTTCTTTACTTTTTCCCCACAGTATTTCATGATTAAGGCTAAGCAGTAGTGTTTTTGACATGGTGAATTATTTCCATCTTTGTGTCAGTTGTTGAACCTAATGTATTGTATCACTAATATCAGCATTGCTCTTTTTTTTTTTTTTTTTATCCTCACCTGAGGACATTTTTTTCATTTTTTGTTCAGATAGAGTGGGGGAGAGAGAGAGAGAGAGAAACATCAACGTGAAAGGGACACATCGAGTGGCCACCTCTTGCATGACCCAACCAGGGTCGGGGACAAACTGCAACCAAGGTACGTACCCTTAGCGGGAACCCAACCCGGGTCTCTCTGGACCACGGGCCGACACACTAACCGCTGAGCCAAATCTGCCAGAGCAACATTGCTCATTTTTAAAAGTGAAACTATAGGGGAAGAATTCAGTAAGGTATTCAAATAATTGGACAAACATTTCAAAAATGAGGTGAGCGTTGGCATGTAAGCAGCACCACTGTGCTATAATTGAAATATTTAATTGTACCAAAATATAAAATAGGGATTTATTGCAATATTTCATAAGAAAGTTAAAGCCTTCCCTGCCGTGTGTCTGCTAGGTATATTAGAACAGATTTTAATAGAGAATGATGAAGGCATTTTAGGGAGACTTTTAGATACTTTGTTTTGGGTCATTTTAAACTTGTGTCCACCTGAGCCATGTAAGGAATGATGGGCTTCCAGAATGAAGGGCTCTGCGCGTTCCGCCTCAGCTCCCTCTTCACTGGTGGTCTCCTCAGCTGTGTTGTGCCTTCATCCCTTTTTTGTGTAAATTAACTCCTTTATATCCATTAATTGATGTATCCTCTTCATAGAATCTCCTGCCATTTTAATCAGAGATGACAAAGTGCAGCCTGCAGCCCAGCCAGTGTGGCTCAGTAGATTGAGCATCGTCCTATGGACTGAGAGGTCACTGGTTTTGTTCCTGGTCAGGACACATGCCCAGGTTGTGGGCTCCATCCCCGGTAGGGGGCGTGCAGGAGGCAGCCAATTGATATTTCTCCCTCACATGGATGTTTCTCTCTCTCCCTTCCTCTCTAAAAAATCAATAAAACAGCCCTGCCGGTTTGGCTCAGCGGTTAGAGCGTCAGCTTGCGGTCCAGAGAGACCCGGGTTTGGTTCCCCCTAAGGGCACATACCTCGGTTGCAGTTTGTCCCTGGCCCTGGTTGGGTCATGCGGGTGGCAGCCACTCAGTGTGTCCCTTTCATGTCGATGTTTCTCTCTCTCTCTCTTCCTCCTGCTCTATCTGAACAAAAAAAATGAAAAAATGTCCTCGGGTGAGGATTAAAAAAAAACAAAAAACCATCAATAAAATATATTTTTAAAAAATGTTTTAAAAAGGTGCAGCCTATATGCAAAGTCTAGCCCTTAAGATCTCCCACAATAGCTAAAAACACTTAGAGATTTTACACAGAAAAGTAGATTTTTTCTTTTCAAAACTGATGCATCTGGTATTGTGGGCCCCTTTTTCTACCTGGCCTCATTTAGTCAGAGCTAAGTAGTAACTGACTGCTTGAAGTGGGGTGTGAACACTAGTGTCCCCCAGTTCCCACCCATCCCAGGTTGTTCATTTCCCACCCAACCTGTCTGGGTATTTGAGAGGCCACTGTTTCCTAGGAAACTTATTGTTCCCTTTAAACAATCTTTTCCAAACTTATTTTTGGCCAGTGATTATAGTAAGAAATGCATCATTTTCTGTAATCTATGTGAGTAAAATAAGCAAAAATTTCACAAAATATTATTCAGCTCTACGCTGTGCAGTGTATGCTAATATTTTCTGTTCTAGTTCCTTAAATAATTCCGTGGTTACAAACCATTGAATTAATTTTACAGCCTATTTAGGTATTTTATCCTGAACTTTGAAAAAACATTACCCTAGCACAGTACTCCCTTCCAGCCTCACCATCCACTCCCCTGGGCATTGGCTGGTTCTCCACTGCTTCTTCAAAATTGTCTTTCTATCCTTAGAAGATATCTTAGTCTGTCCTTTGGGGTATCACCTTTACCCTTCTTCATAACTGTCATCTACATACCTTGAGATTATTTCTCCACCTTAAGAGTTTCTGTAGTCAAACTACTATCATCCCAAACAGGCAGGCTAGTCCCTTTGATTGTGGTAGCCAGTCATTCCCATAACTAAACACTGAACCTTTATGTCACTTGGAACTGAAGAGCCCTTTAAATATTCAACTTAAATTTCCATTCTTTGGCCATAGTCTTTGTCGTTCTAGCTCTCCCTTTGTTGGACTCCCAGTTTCTCGTTTAGATGGCTGAGTCCTCTGTTTCCCAGCACTTTTCTTCCATGTGCTTCTGTCCCTTCTGTTTCACTTTCACTTCCCACTCTTTTCTGTTCTAAATCCTATAGTAAATGATTTTCTTCTTTTTTTTGTTGTTTAATCCTCACCCGAGGATATTTTTTTCCCTTGAAGTGGAAAAAGGGGGAGGGGTACATCAATGTGAGAAAGACACATTGATTGGTTTTCTCCCACATGTGCCCAACCTGGATGGGGATTGAACCTGCCACCCTCAAACCACTGAGCCACACCAGCCAGGGCGTCTTGAACAATTCTTGACTGCATCCTCACTTTACACCTGTCCCTAGGCTTTCTCCCATAATGCATTTGCTAATCCAGGAACTGGATTACTCCAGTTGTCCGTTTTATTTACGTGTGAATCAGAGTTGTAGAAATATGAAGGCAGTCTCACTCCCATGGAGATGGTTACAACTGCAGATTCACAGTCTCAGCCCTCACCTAGGCCCTCGCCTCTGTTTGGGAGCAATGTGTATTTCTGATGGGATTAGTCACCTTGTATCACCTACAACAGTTATTCCAGATTTCCACCATTCTCCCTCATTTTCTTACCCATTTGTGAGTCCTTCATAGAAGAAGTATAAGTTGTCATAAGTAAATCCTTATCTTCCCACCCTTATAACCTCACACAAACATTTCTACTCTCAAACCATTGCTGCTGCCTTCCTCTAACGTCTGGACAAGATATGTCTTTTCTGGTACCTAAAGCTAATGTTTAGAACGCTTCGAGAAGCCATCCCATTTCTTCTAGAGATTTTTCCATCCATTTTCCCATGACTTTTTTATATTACGTACCAACCTTTTCTAATCAGTCTCTCCCTGGCTTCTTATAGTTAGCTTATAAAACATACTAAAATGCAGTCTTTTTTAAATTTAAAAATAATAAATTTATTTGTTGAAACTTATGTCTTTCTCTAACCCTCACTCTATATCACTTTGCAACCAAGTATAAAAGAATGGCCTTTGGCCCTGGCCAGTGTGGCTCATTTGGTTGAGCGGCCTTCCATGCACTGAGAAGTCACAGGTTCAATTCCTACTCAGGACACATGCCCATATTAGGCAGCCAATTGATGTTTCTCCCTATTTCTTCCTCTCTCTCGAAAATCAATAAAAACCTGCTTTTTTAAAAAAGAAAAGAATGGTCTTTAATCACTATCTGTTTTCTCACCTGTTATTCCTTCCTTAGATCATTCTCAAGTATCACCTCCATATTTCACCTCCCTCCACTTCCACTCTCAACGCACAATCTCTATCACACTGTAATTTTGTTAGGCTTTGGATTCTTTGGTAAGAGTTTCATCTCATTTATCTTTGGATCCTAAACACTTGGTAATGTGCCATCAAGCACATGGTCAAAAGTTTATAAATAACGAATGAGCAAAGCTGAAAAAGTAAAAATATTTTTTTTAAAAAAGGGAGCATTTACCCTGGCCGATTTGGTTCAGCGGTTAGAGCGTCGGCCCGCGGACCAGAGAGTCCCTGGTTCGGTTCCTGCTAAGGGCACGTACCTTGGTTGTGGTTTGTCCCTGGCCCTGGTTGGGGTCGTATGGGTGGCAGCCACTCGATGTGTTTCTGTCACATCAATGTTTCTCTCTCTCTTCCTCCCACCCGCTCTATCTAAAGATAATTGCAAAAAAATGTCCTCGGGTAAGGATTAAAAAAAAAGGGAGCATTTTGAGATCTTGGTTCTTGCATATCACCAGTTTGGTTTAAATAAACTCTTATTAAAAAATTAAAAAGTAGCCCAGCCGCTGTGGCTTGGTGGTTAAGTGTCGACCCATGTACCAAGAGGTCATCGGTTCAATTCCTGGTCAGTGCATGTGCCCAGGTTGTGGGCCAAATCCCCAGTGGGGGGCATGCAGGAGGCAGCCAATTGACATTCACTCTCATCGATGTTTCTCTCTCTCTCTCCCTTCGTCTGTCTCTAAAATCAATCGATAAATAAAAAATTTTAAATAAATAGTCCAGCTGGTGTGGTTCGTTGGATTGAGCATCGTCCCTTGGATTGAGAGGTCCCAGTTTGATTTCCAGTCAGGGCACATGACTGGGTTTTGGGCTCAATCCCCGGTAGATGGCGTGCAGGAGGCAGCTGATCAATGTTTCTCTCTCACATGAATGTTTCTATCTCTCTCTCCCTCTCTCTAAAAAATCAATAAAAACATATTTTAAAAAATAGATAGAAAAAATAAAAGTAAGATATGTTAAACACTAATAGATTTTCAGTAAAATTTATTATTTGACGTTTTTATTTTATAAGGGTGATGAAATATTCAGATGTGATATTTTTCTGAAATACATTTCAGAAATTTATCTTTTAATTGTTATAAATATATTATTTATTTTAATTAGCTTTTTAAAGATTTTTAAATAATTTTTTTCTTCATTAAATTTTATTGATTTTTTGCCCTGGCCAGTTTGGCTCGGCGGTTAGAGCGTCGGCCTGCGGTCCGGAGAGACCCGGGTTCGGTTCCCGCTAAGGGCACGTACTTCAGTTGCAGTTTGTCCCCGGCCCTGGTTGGTCGTGCGGGTGGCAGCCACTCGATGTGTCCCTTCACGTCGATGTTTCTCACTCTCTCTCCCTTCCTCTCTCTCCCTCCCATTCTATCTGTACAAAAAATGGAAAAATATCCTCGGGGGAGGATTTAAAAAAAAAAAAAAAATTTTATTGATTTTTAGAGAGCGGAAGGGAGAAAAACATCAATGTGAGAGAGAAACATTGATGAGTTGCCTCCCCCACACAGCCCAACCCAGCATCGAACCCACCAGCTTTTGGTGCACGGGTCGATGCTCCAACCAGCTGAGCCACACCAGCCAGGGCTATTTATGGCTTTTTATATCAAAAATATAAAACAAGAAAATTGGTACTTTCATTCTTTTTATAATTTTAAATAGATTAACTCATTTTTTTATGTATATCTATAACAGAATCATTTCGTGCACCCACATTTTCATATGGACCTGATGGAAATGGTTTCTCTCTTGGATTCAGTAAAAATTGGAGACAAGTCTTTGGTGATGAAAAGAAATACTGGCTGCTTCCAATATTTTCAAGGTAATTTATAAAATGCAGGTCTCAGAAATTATGGAAATTATAGTTAAATGTCTTAAGATTCAAAGACTATAGTATATAATGACATTCTTAGACTTAAGAATGAAAACCCAGAATAACTTGATTATATACAATATTTTCCTTTTTTTTTTTTTTTTTTTTTTTTTTGACAGAGGGTAATGGAGAGTTTGGGCATATATTTGAATGGAAAGTTGAAAAAAATTCATAAAAAATAAGAATTCCTCTTTATTTCTTCAAGATGAAAATAAGTTGTTTGAAGTAGAGAATCATAGGAATTTATACTTATTAGCTATATCTTCAAAAATCCCACCACATATTTTATATTCTGTTTTATCTTAAAGAAGACCTAATACATAGTGTAATTTTTACTCAACTGTAAATGAGAATATGTGCTTGAGATGTTAGTTTCCTTTTCCAAATTCACAGCCATCCTAGGCTACCTATATGTAAAAGTAATTATAGAAGAGGAAAAAATATTTGATGTTCAAGTGACATATTTGTGAGTGTTGTAGGGGTTTTTTCCTTTAACTAAATTGCCTATTTCTGTGTGAAAATGTCTATTTTGCCTTCATTTTTGAAAGACATTTTTGCTTGGTATAGAATTCTACATGTTGTTTCACTATCTTTGGCTGGCTGTTTTTCTTATAAGTTTACAGTCACTGTTCTCTTTTTCACTGTATCTGTAACATGTCTTTTTTCTCCCACTGCTTTTAAGATTTTCTGTTTGTAACTAGTTTCATGAAATTTGATTTTGTTGTGCCTTGGTATAGTTTTCTTTGTGTTCTTCTGTTTAGAATTGGTTGAGCTTCCCGGATCTTTGATTTTATGACTTTCATCAGATTTGGAAATTATTTCAGTTGTTTTTTCTTCAACTCTTTCTTCTGTCATCCTCCTCTCATTACTGCAGGGACTCCAATTACATGTATCCACTCGAAGTTCTAACGACAGCTTACTGATGCACTGTCCATTTTTTTAACTTTATTGTTGAAAATATTACAGATGTCCCCCCTTTTTTTCCCTCATTGAGCCCTCCTCCACAATCCCATCCCCCTCCAGCCTTTCCCACACTATTATCTGTGTCATTGGTTATGCATATATGTATATAAATTCTTTTGATTTATCTCATCCTGCCCTCCCTCCCCCCTTCCCTATGAGGTTTATCAAACAACCAATTTGTGCTTAATTCCTTCATCTTTTTCACCCATACCCTCAGCCCCTCCCATCTAGCAAACAACACAAAGTTCTCTGTATCTGTGAGTCTGTTTCTGTTCTGCTTGCTCATTTTGTTTGTAAATTCAGTTGTTAATAGATATGTATTTATTTTCATTTTATTGTTCATATTTTTGTTGTTCTCCTTTAAGAAGTCCCTTTAACATTCCATATCATACTGGTTTGGTGGTGATGAACTCCGTTCGTTTTTTCTTGTCTGGGAAACTCTTTATATGTCCATTAATTCTAAATGATAGTTTTGCAAGATAGAGTAGGTCCTTGCTTTTCTTCATTTTATATATTTCTTGCCACTCCCTTCTGGCCTGCAAAGACTCTTTTGAGAAATTGGCTGACAATTATGGGAGCTACTATGTTGGTAACGAACTGCTTTTCTTTTCTCTGGCTGCTTTTGAGATTCTCTCTTTGTCTTTAACCTTTTGCATTTTGATGATGATGTGTCTTGGTGTGGACTTCTTTGGGTTCGTCTTGTTTGGGACTCTCTCTGCTTCCTGGACTTGTATGACTATTTCCTTCACCAAGATAGGGAAGTTTCTGCCATTATTTTTCCAAATAGGGTTTCAATTTCTTGCGCTCTCTCTTTTCCTTCTGGCACCCCCATGATGCAAATGTTGGCATGCTTGAAGTTGTCCCAGGGGCTCCTTACACTGTCCTCATTTTGGGGGGATTTCTGTTTTTTTGTTTTGTTTTGTTTTGCTATTCTGATTGAGTGCTTTTTGCTTCCTTGTATTCTAAATCGATGGTTTGCCCCTTGGCTTTACCTGCTCTACTATTGATTCTCTGTAAGTTATTCTTTATTTCAATTAGTGCATCCTTCATTTCTCAGTGGTCCTTTTTTATGTTATTGATGTTCTCACTAAGTTCTTTGGAGTTCTCCTTAAGTGTCTTGAAGTTCTCACTAAGTTCCCTGAGCAACCTTATAACCAGTGTTCTGAACTCTGCATCTGATTGATTGCGTGTCTCCATTTTGTTTAGTTCTTTTCCCAGAGTTTTGTTCTTTTCTTTCATTTGGAACATGTTTGTCCCCTCATTTTTGCTGCTTCACTGTGATTGTTTCTATATATTAGGTAGAGTTGCTGTGTCTCCTAGGCTTCGTAGGGTGGCCTATTGTAGTAGGTGTCCTGTAGGATTCAGTGACACAGCCTCCCTGGTCTCCCAGCTGGGCCCTCGAGGTGCACCCCTAGTGTGGACTGTCCACCCTCTGTTGTAATTGAGTTTTGATTGCTGTTGGCACATCAATGGGAGGGATTTACTCAGGCTGATCAGCTGTAAGGACTGGCTGTGCCCACTGACCACAGGCCTCTGACTCCTTTGGAGGATCAGCTATGCTGGGGCCCAACACACAGAGCAACACTTACTTCAGCAGGGCTCTGATACCCACTAACTCCACTCATTGAGTGTGTCACTTACGGAGGTGGTTGTGTGGTGGTGTTTCATTGTGGTCTGAAGCTGTCCCCTGGGTGTGCTGGCTCTGGGGCAAGATTAGCAACTGCCTGTGTTCTACCTGGGGCCACCAGGCATAAGCTACAAAGCAAACTGCCGGTGACTGCTTCTTGTGCTGGGCTTAGAGGTACCCAGGAAAAGCCAAGTTGTGAACCAAGCCTGGCGGCTTCTAGTGCCAGTCCTGGGGCCACTCAACGAGAGGTATTAGGCTCGCTGAGACCAGGAGCTGCTTGTTTGAGAGATTTTAGGAAAACCTGAAGCAAGATCCAAGACAGGCCATTCCTGTGGTAAAGCCTTTGGAATCAGCTTGAGTGGGCCCAAGTGTAGGGTGGGTCAGGTTGTCAGGGAATCACCAGGCCGGGGCAAACAGTGTGAGCCAGGTTGCTGGAGTCCCAGATATGGCTGCTGTCTGCTGCCCCAGGGAAGGGCTCACCAAAAGAACAATGGTTTGCCACAGCAAGTCCGTCCAGGAGAAAGCTGCCCCTCCAGCTCTCGCCCCAATGCCAAACAATTCAGTTCTTCATCATATGTCTCTGGTGCCTTTCAAGCTGCCCCCCTAACCCTGGAGCCCAGGAGTGAGTCCAAATAGGTCTGTGGTCGGGCCCTTTAAGAGCAACTACCTGGGACTCTAGTAGCCCCAGCCTCCCTCAGCCTCAGTTCCTGCTGGTTTTTACAGCTAGAAGTTATGGAGACTTCTCTTCCTGGCACTGGAACCCTGAGTTTGAGCCTAGTGTGAGACAGGGACCCCTCACTCCTCAGGGAGGACCTTCAAAGCCAAGGTGTCCCTCCTGTTTTTTATCCACCACACATGGGTGTAGGACCAGCCTGTCCACCTCCACCCCTCCTACCAGTCTCCACGTGGCTTTTGTTTAATTCCGTAGTTGTAGGACTTCCATTCAGCTCTATTTCAGGCAGTTCTGAATGATGGTTGTTCTGTAGTTTAGTTGTAACTTTGTTGTGGTTGTGGGAGGAGGTGATACCGCATTGACCTACAACTCCATCTTGACTGGAAATCTCCCATTTTGTTTTTGTTTAGTCTTTTTTCTGTGTGTCATTCTATTATTGCTACATCTTCAAGAGCCACTCTCTTCTTTATTGCAAGGTTTTTCCACTCTGGTTGTAACACAGACTTATTTTTAAATGTTATTTTCTCTGAACAGAGATTTCAGTACTAAGATTTTTTTCTTCACTTTAAAAATGTGGTTTCACCTGCCTAATGGGGCTAAGTGGATGAGCATTGACCCATGCATGAAGAGGTTCCTGGTTCAATTTCTGGTCAGGGGACATGACTGGGTTGTGGGCCAGATGCCCATTGGGGGCATGCCGGAGGCGGCCAATCGATGTTCTCTCTCATCGATGTTTCTATCTTTCTCTCCCTCTCCCATCCTTTCTCTAAAATCAGTAAAGAAAAAAAAAAATTTAATGTGGTTCTATGGCCCTGCCTAGTAGCTCAGTTGGTTAGAGCATCATCCTAATACGTATACCTAAGGTTATAGGTTTGATCCCCAGTCAAGGCACATATAAGAATCAACCAACGAATGCATAAATAAGTGGAACAATATATTGCTGTTTCTCTCTCCACCCACTCCTCTAAAAAAATTTTTTTTTACAATATTTATTAATTTATTTTTGTTATAGGTGTTTCTTCTTTTCTTCCCATTAAAACCATCATTCCAATTCCACCTACCCCTTCCCCCCAGCATTGTTGTCTAAGTCCATTGGTTATGCATACATGCATATAAGTTCTTTTTGCTTTTTTGGTTTTGTTGATTTAGAAAGAGGGAGGATGGGAGAGGAAGAGAGAGATAGAAACATCGATGAGAGAGAACATCAATTGGCCGCCTCCTGCATACCCCTTACTGGGTGTTTGGCCCACAACCTGGGCATGTACCCTGACCAGGAATCGAACTAGAGACCTCTTGGTGCATAGGTTGATGCTCCACCACTGAGCCACACCGGCCAGGCATCATATAAGTTCTTTGGTTTATCTCATTCATGCCCCCTGTTTCCTTCCTCTGAGATGTGTCAGTCTGAACCGTACTCTTTTTGTGTCTCTGGGTCTATTTTGTTCATCAGCTTATTTTGTTCATTATACTTCACAAATAAGTGAGATCATGTGGTATTTGTCTTTCTCTGATTGGCTTATTTTACTTAGCATAATGTTCTCCAGGTCCCACCATGTCATCTCAAAGGATAAAAGATCTCTCTTTCTTACAGCTGCATAGTATTCCATTGTTTATATATACCACGGCTTTTTTATCCACTCATCCTTTGATGGATACTTGGGCTGTTTCTAGATATTAGCAATTGTA